TACATTTATGCTTTTTCAGAAACCAAACTACATACTAAAATACACACTTTCTGGGCATTCTAAAGCAGTTTCGTCAGTCAAGTTCAGCCCAACAGGAGATTGGCTAGCAAGTTCCTGTAAGTGATTTTTAAATTTTTTTGAAATGGCTAAGGTAAAAGTATATACATAATGTTATCACATAGATTGTTATACAGTAATCTCTTCTTTTATTTTCTTTCTCTTTTTCTTTCTTTCAGAATTAGTTAATCATTATGAAATACAACTGTTAATGCATTCCCCCCATGTGGCAAGAATCCTTGCCATGCCCACTGTAATACACTTTTATTTATTGTAATTACACATAATGGCTCTACAAGTTCTTAATCATCAAATAGCCAATTTATCAGAACTACCTATCTCACCTGTTTACCCTTTTCCTTCACTTTAGGAAAGGGTCTTTTGTATTATTTCATTGTCTAAAATATTTTAATGACAATTTAATAATCATAACATCATAACATTGATAGCAATGGTATTAATAAGAAAAAGACATTTTCCCGCCAATTCCAGGAATGGAAAAATTAGGATCGGTAACTAGGGCCTACTGATAGACTCCTTGCTTGCTGAGCACGTGTGGAACCATCTGTATGTAACAAAATTCACCAAAAACTACAGGGGACAGAACATAAATTTGGGGCGAATCGGTTAATTGGACGTATATATATATGAATTAACTGAACACTTTTAAATTTCTCTCTTTATATAGGTCACATGTTTTACTTAACTTGCCATCACCAGGAAAATGTAGTGTTCACTATAGTGTTTTGTAAAATATTTTTGCACCTAGAGTGCATAGCCTCTAAGAAATCAATTAGTAGACCTAGTGACCTTACCTGATGTCATTTTTCATTGTTTTTCTCTTTTCTTTCCTATTCTTATATCAGTACTGATGCTGTTATTATTATAGACATTATAATTACTGTTTTACTGACTGCAGTATAAAATACCAGAAAATATTTCCAATAATCAAGAAAGACAGTAAACAGTGAGATAGGTAGTACTCATAATTGGCTCATTATTGACCTAGCATTTGTGGAGCCATCTCTGTTTAAAGCCTGAATGTACTAAATTTTTTATGCCTAAAATTACCTATTTCATATCTCTTGTTGACAGCGGCTGACAAAGTTATCAAGATATGGGGAGCTTATGATGGAAAGTTTGAAAAGACTTTGTCAGGACACAAACTGGGTATCAGTGATGTAGCTTGGTCTCATGACAGCAGACTCCTTGTATCTGCCTCAGATGACAAAACCTTGAAAATATGGGAACTGGCTTCTGTAAGTATATCCCTTTAGTTGATACTAATGTAAATATACTGCATTTTATGTTAAATGAAATACAGGGATATATGCTGGTATACTTGAGACGTCATTTTGAATTGAATTTGTGTAATTGTAAATAATGGTTTCATATGCAGTACTGATATTACTAACAGTAACTTAGAGAGAAATATGTAAATATGAACTAATAGAAGTTTCATATCACAGGGCAAATGTGTGAAAACACTGAAAGGACACAGCAATTATGTGTTCTGCTGTAACTTCAACCCACAGTCCAACCTTATTGTCTCAGGCTCAGTAAGTTATACTTAATTATTGCTATATCACACAGGAGTTTTTTTTTTGTTTTTTTTTAATGTATTTTCCCCTCCATTCTATTATCCCAGAATTCATCACAAAGCATCTGTTAATATAACACTGCAGCCTATCACTGCAATCACATGAATTTGTTGTTTTGTGTAGTATTAGATTTCCTTCTAATCAGGAATGGCTTATATAGTTAAACAATGTATGCAAGATAATTTTGTTTAATATGAATATATTAATAACAAATTTCTTTCCAGTTTGATGAAAGTGTACGAATTTGGGATGTTAAAACTGGCAAGTGTTTAAAAACCCTTCCAGCCCATTCGGATCCAGTCAGTGCAGTTAACTTCAATCGAGATGGCACACTTATTGTTTCTAGTAGTTATGATGGGTTATGGTAAGTTGTGAGATTTCATTTGCATTTTTTTAAAACTTCAGTATGTGTCCCAAATACATCTAGTGATAAAAGAGACAGGCAAACAGACGAATACAGTAAATATGATAAAGAAAAAGTTTTATTTATGGAGGATTACAAAACCTGAACTAAAGGAGTTTATTTTTGATAGGCTCATTATTTTGCACAGCATGTACCACATGCTTTTATTTCTTCCATCAGAAATGAATAAGGGATGAATTATGCAAAGAATATAATCTAGATATACTGTACACTTGGAAGAGAAGAAATTAAAGCATGAACAACCATTATTTGGAACTTAAAAGTTAAAATTATGTATGTTAATGTATGTGGTTGAGCAAAATTATATGTAATTTGAATAGTAAAAAATTATGCATATATCTTTTTATATTTAGATTGTTCTCTGCTATTAACCCATTGCCACCGGGGAAAATGAAAAAAAAATGGGGGAAATGCAGTACTCATTTTTTATATTTTTGTGAAATGATAATATGTCCAAAGATGGCTCTGCTAGTCCTGAATTCACCTTTCCTTGAATTGGCGGGAAAAAAAGTATTTTTACTAGTGCTATGAATATAGATGGTGTTATTTTTAACAACAAATTAGGATAACGTTAAATATTTTCGTAAATTGATGAAAAGGGTGACCGGGCGAGACAGGCAGTACTTGTAATTGGCTCATTGGATACTTAGTACAAGTGTAGCCATCTGTGTGTAAAAACAATCGAACAAGTCGACTCACAGTGGGCATGGCATGTACGTACATGCCATCCCTGGCGGCAATGGGTTAATGCAATTGGTTTGTTTTCTGATACTAAAGAATCAATAATATATCTTTAATATATATTATCCAAAAACATTAGAATGAAATAGAGTTTTGATTATTATATGCAGATAATATTGTGATATAAGTCAGAACTTAGGTTTTGCCAAAAAAAAAAAATATTATCCACTGAATACTTTACTACATTAGGACCTAATGTCTAAAGACAATTCTTATAATTCTGTCTGTTTTTTCTAATCCTTTCAGTCGAATCTGGGACACCACTTCTGGGCAGTGCCTCAAAACACTCATTGATGATGACAATCCACCTGTCTCCTTTGTAAAGTTCTCTCCTAATGGGAAATATATATTGGCAGCAACCTTAGATAACACATTAAAACTCTGGGACTATAGTAAAGGCAAATGCCTCAAAACCTACACAGGGCACAAGAATGAAAAGTATTGCATATTTGCCAATTTCTCAGTAACAGGAGGAAAGGTGAGTACCATTTGCTCTATGATATGAATAGTTGAAGGGATAGTCCTGATAAATGACTGTGTATTATTATTATAAACTTAGGTAAAGATAACAGTATTATTGGTAGGAATAATAAAGACAAACAATAATGATAGTAATAGAAATGCCTAACTTGTTGGCTTTGAATGGCATGGATATCATGCCATATTGAGAAAGGTCACTGTGTCACTATCATAGTACTTTCACAACTTAGAGCCCATCTATCATGTGGACTTTGCTCTGAGGGGATTGGATACTCTTACCAAATTTGAAGTTAAAAAGTAGCACTAAAGATTCATACTATTTTACCAGTCTTTATTGAAACCACAAACCAAAACTTTTTTGTGAATATGCAGTGTAAAAGCAAACACGTTGGTTTCTAGCAGGTGATTCCTGCATATTTACATGTACCTTAGAGTTTAAGGTGGTTGTTATTGTTGTTTATTTGTCAGCCAGGGAGGCAATGTCAATAACAAAGCAATATGTTTAAATATGTATTTCTCTCTCTTTCAGTGGATTGTCTCTGGATCAGAAGATAACCTTATCTATATTTGGAATTTACAAACCAAAGAAATTGTTCAGAAATTAGAAGGCCATTCAGGTATGACACATGATTTTTTTTTTTTTCTGCTAGTATTGTAGGTATCATCTTTTTCAAATTGCTTATATAAATTGATTTGTATGTTCTATTAATTAATTGATCTGATTTCAGATGTTGTACTATGTACAGCCTGCCATCCGACGCAGAACATCATTGCTTCCGGAGCATTAGAAAATGACAAAACAATCAAACTGTGGAAGAGTGACACTTAAAGGAACATTCTAGAAACCCCTTTTTTCTCTCTCTTTCATTTATTATCATTATTATTATTATTTCATTATTATTATTTTTTTCATGCCTTATGTCAAGAGTAATTTTGCAAAGATGTTTTGAGTTTATGGCTTAAAATGAAAGAATGTTTTATAGGTTTTGTCTTTATTTTTTATCCCAAGATATTTTTGGCTTAAAGCAAAAGAATGTAGATCTTGCCTTTATTTTGTATTTCATTTTTTTTTCCTTTGCTTTCAGTCTCTCCTCACTCTTCAACAATGTTTTTGGCTTGGTTTCATTCTGTGGTAAAAGTATATATTTTTTTAACCTCAACATATTACTATACAATATATATGTCTAGTCTCAAAAGCATGTCCAAATTCCTCCTAAACAGAAATCTAACCTGTTAGATTTTATCAGTTTTTAACCTACTAACTACTGTGGAATCCTATCAACTTTTGGCATAACATCAGCCAAATGATATTTATTGTGTCTATTTATATTTGCACACTCGTTTTACAAGAATGTCCTCATTCTTAGTTGTTGGTAGAATACTTGCTATTTTTTTTAGACTACTCAAAAAATTAGGAAAATGTCAAAGAGAAAGAAAGATGAGAAAGTGAGTACTTTTTTTTTCTCTGTCATTCATTACTGTATGCATGTACTTCCTTATATATTTATTTTTTTCTTTTATGACGCTTTTAACCCTTTGTTCGCGGGTAGCATCTACTATGATGCCATGGCGGCATAGCACCAGTGCCGTAGGTGCCATCCTTACAGATGTGGCCCATACAGATATACCTGTTTGGCAGACCACACAGCCACCAAAAAGGGCTGCACACATTGGGTTAACAAGGCTTATATAAACAC